AATAATAATAATTAAAGAAAAGGTGATCTTAAAGTAATTTTTATACAGTCAGTTGGAAATTACGGAACTAATTTTGTTAGCTGCTTTCGAAACAAATCAATTCTTCAGTATCTTAAAGAAATGAATAATTCAGAAACTATTGTTTAGGAAACATAAGAGAAAAATCATACCTTAGTCTTGGATGCGCTGGTCATCTTTTTCTGCTCGAATTTCATCGTCTCCTGTCCAGCAGGTAGGTTCGTCATGTTCGATATGTTCGATATACTGATTGGAGGGCTCATACTGTGAAGATTGTTCAACGAATTCAAGTCCCTTAATTGAGAGGGCGAACCTCCCGTTAATGTGACCGTTCCCGTGGAGGGTGGTGGTGTGTCCGGGTCCGGAAACGTTACCAACGGTTCTGTCAGATCAGCTTCTTCCGTTCCGTTTCCATCCCTGAGAAAAAGAATACTCATTAGATTTTCAATCAGAATCCGATGATTTCGTTCTATCGATATTTACACGATCGTTGGATCGATATTTACTCGAGCAACGCGAGTGAAGTTTACATACGGTGCATGCGTGGTTAAATTGGGAATTCGTCGTTTATAAATAACATGGTGGACGTGACTTTGCTGATTACAAGTGAGATTCGATCTCGCAGAGTTTGTGGAATGTTTGATTACCATTCACTTCTTCATGGTTTCATGGAATTCGATATTGTGTGTGAACCTTTGATTCTTTAATACAATACATACGATTTTATCAAAAGACTAACGTTTCCTCAATTTATCTTAAAACTGTTTTAAATATTCTTTTTTACATTTCTAATATGATTGAGTATTGATACGTGTATCACGAAGATTCCAACACAAAGGCCGATTCAAGTAAATTGTGTATGGAGAAAGAGGATAATTCGTAAACCTTACCTATCCACGAGATTTTCCATGCTGCTGCGTAATCGCTGCGAGAAGTTCGTCGATATATTGTTCTTCATCTCAGATATGCCACGTTGAAGTTCCCTCAGGTCGCTCTTCATGGAGCTAGCTTTCATCTCACTCGACGAGGACGAGGTAAGAATCCTCTGAGAGGATTTGGCCACCCTGCTCGAACTGCTGCTGCTCTGGCTCTGGTTCGTCGTCAGCATCTGCCGAGTCAAAAGCCGTTTACGTTCTATTTAAAATCCACGTGAGATGAGTCACTCTCGCCTATTCGTCTCTCTGTACACATACACGGACACATGCATTCTCTCTCTCTCTTCTTTTTGCTCGTCTTCCTTTTTCCCACGAACCGTTCCCAATCACTTTTCCACGATTTTTGGTTCCCGCTAACTTTTAATATCGAGAATCGGATCGCTGCGGCTATTGTTAGTATATTATGAAAGCTCGCACTTCTTGATAATCATGTAAATCTGATCCGGTTCAAAGAACGATTTTGTCAGCGTTTTATTCAACTTCAGAACAAGATTAAATAATCAACGAATATCTTTGAAGACTACGCTATCCTAATCCTAAACGATTCCCAAAGAGAATACTGTGAAAAATCGGTTTAGTCATCCTCTGGTCCAATTAATTCGTGATTTAAGGAATACTCAGAGCGCCGGTCTGGTAAATGTCCAAGGGAGCGATTGATGCCAAACTACGTTAACCGTCGCAGAGGCAACGTGCTCGAAGAGAAATGACGATAAAATGAAGTGAAGAGGGCCTTGAGAAAAATGACCTTGAAGTTTCCGGACCTGGAAGTTCCTAGTGTTTGTTGAAGAAAAAAATTTATGTGGGCGATCGTTACGTAATCGTGTGATTATGCATTTACATCGGTGAAGTTGAAGAATTTCGAAGAAGAGGAGAAATAAAGAGGATATCAGTTAAAAGAATTATAATGGGTATGGTTTTCCAATAGAAATGGATGACACATGGAAATTTCAATTTCAATTTTAATTCTTCAATGTTATAATGCTCAAACACAATTTTTGCCTAATTCTCCATGTTTTACACAAAATACTAAATTAGTCATTCACCACTATATAAGATGCAATGTAAATTTGGCAATTACATCATAATCACGATCATCAGTCAAAATAGAACACCAAATCACAGAAAGATTGAGATATGATAAGCTGACTAAAACTATTAACTTGGCAAATATACGTATTTATAAATTAAACAGGATTATCGAAGGAATACGAGGAAGAACGAAGACCAAATTGAACCGTAATTACAAAACGATTAGTGATAAGAGATTCAGTGGTTACGATTAGCATTGAGGCTCGTAAACGGTGTTATCATAGCACACAGCAAATACTATTTCAACTTCTTTTAAAAACCAAATAATAATCTTTAACCAATATGTAATTTTCTTCGATCCCCAAGAATTATGCTCACGTGTTTCAAGAGAAATACGTGAACGAAATTCTGTGAGGGTTCAACGTTTTCCACGTGTACCGATCTGTGCCAAGAAGTTATTGTTTATTACAACTGGTTTAGATAATAAGTATAGATAATTTCTATTTCGGTGCGATTGTGCTTGGAACGAACGCGGGTATAAATAGTCGCAACAAGAGTGAAGATATAATTTTGTCTCGCGCAACCAACATAGACATGCAACTTAATTTCATCGGCCCGTGAAGATTACAATTTTATGATAATTCGCTTTCTAAGAATCTCCACTTAACAATTATTGACGACCCGTTTTTGGGTCATCCAGACCGGTCTCGCGGAGTTTTGTGAAAAGTGACTGTGTGGACTTAATTTTGGAAATTACTGCAGACGACCGATTCCGAGTTTCCTGAATTACGGGAAACTCGGTGTGGGCGAGAAGTGTCGCGACGCTTTAACGACAGATCGGAACTTAGTTCACAGGCCTTTAAATAGGAAGTTCAATGACGGAGCCACTTATTAAGTCATACCCCGGCGTCTACAGAAGTAGTAGAACAGCAAATACATATTTCGGTGACTATTCCACGTCAGTCAAGCGCTTGCATACTCATTCTGTGATGTATATTCGTCTATCTCTTTTTATCTAATAGTCTTTTTGTCGTAAATTTTATGTACTTTAATTAAAAATATAGAGTAACACATTATTGACCAGCAATTTCACGCAGAAGCTATCCTATGTCAATGATAACAGTGTAACGATGAAAACATGAGTGAATCGATGACCGGTTAACAGTATCTTAATTATAGATAAAATTTTGCAAAATTTACCTGCGACGATGATGTGACCTGTGGATGATGAGTGACATGGCTTCTGCCCGCTAGATTATTTTTCTTCTGAAAATTCTGCATGACAGAGTGCATGTCACCGTTCTCCCCTCCCTCCACTGGGAACTCCGACATCTGCAACATCAATCAACAACAAATTTTTCAATTAACCCTTACAATTCTGCACCGTGTAAAGATATTAACTTTCACTATAAGCTAGCGATCTGAAATCGCGTTAGTTTGAAATCAGGCGATCGAGCGAAACCGCTACCACCCACATGCTCATTAATAATTATTGTGCCACGCCAATCTACCAGCTGATCCCGGATCTTGAAAAATCGTTCGAAAGAGGTCAACCTTTCTCTTTTCACGGGTAATTAGCTCGTGTCCCAAAAAGCAAATCCTACAGAATGAAATTAAAGCCTTTCATACATGAACTGTCGTGCCTCTACATTTGTCAAAACTGATCATCCCCCACTACTTCTTCTCTTCTCACGTCTTCTGAAGTATCTTAATTGTAGAGAACCTACATTGTACACGTCGAAATCGTTGCTTCAAAAACGTTGATTACGCAACAATATTACAGAATATGCATCGACGTTATGCAACATGGAAACGCGCGTTTCCTCTTCGATATTCCGAGAAGTAAGGATCTTAATGCAACTGAGACCGGTAAACAAGATGTTAATTACGTTTTTCCTCAAATGGGGATCGCCGTTTCGTGGGGGCAGTAGAATTAACGATTCGAAGCGTATCAGACGGAAATATATAGGTATCAAGAATAATTTCTCTGGAGACAATGAAAAGCTTCGCGAGGCTCTCTGCACACGGTTGTTCCCGAGCAGACTTGGACGGTTCTTGGAAAAAGATACGCGAGATATGCGGGTCTCGCAACACGTACGTTACGTAAATGGAACCTTGTGGTCAACGGAACACACTCGCATATGCCGTGCACATTGACTGCTTTGAAAAATGTTCTATGATAATGTAAACAAGGTGTACTCGCATTTATACTTAACAGCTATTCGTACATACATAATCTATCTATATTTTGAATTTATGCACCCATGAATATGCATGCATGTTTACATTTATACATGCATACGTACATTTGTGTGTACATAAAGTATAAGTGTTTTACTGCAAAAATTGACAAGTTTCCATACAATTCTTGCATTCTTTTAAATTGATCAATTTTAAATCTGCTGAAAATTGTAACGTTTGCAAACTTAAGTATATTTATTAAAATATTGAAATGATTATATTTGTCGGGGTATGAAAGCGTGCAGTGATACGAATAACGTCGAATCACTAACCATTTGACAGTTGCAGCCGAAATCGCAGGCTACTCCTTTTTATCTCTCGTTCTCCACCCCACCGTAGTCATTATCGTTTGACACACTGCTAGCATCCCGTTGGAATTCCCGTATCTGAACAGATACTAGCGTTACGCGAGACAATGCGCGCACGATTTCACGTGTCATCGTTAGCTGTCGCTTTCAAATGCACGCGTGAGATCGTCTCCATCCCTAAATGCGATCGTCGTCGCGTTTATTGAAAAAATACCGAGGAGCGATCGATCACAATTTTGATAATCAATGATCGCTCGGAGAGTTCGACGGGTAATTTGCAGAGATAACTTTTACCGGGTGGCACAAGAGACACGCGCGACCGGCTACAGAGACGATAAGCATCGCGTGACGGTTGGACTTGGACTGAATCGGTTTGACGCGTTGGCGGTGCGAGACCCGCGACCGCACTGCTGCAGCTGGCGACCCCGAGAACCGATCCACGCATTCCGCATAGCGAGCGTGCACGTGAGAAAAGCCTCGAATTAAGAACGAAAACCAGGTCGTACGTCGGGGATTCTTGGAAAAAGCTGTCGCGACCTACGCTTAATTATCATACGACAATATAAATAAACTGGTCTAGTGTTTTTTGAATAACCGACAGCTTGAGGAAAAGTCAAAGTATCGTTATCTAGTCGCGAAGCGCGCTACCCGATTAAAGGGGTCAAAGGCAGATTTGACCGAAATTCACGAATTCAATGATTAATAAAGAACGTACTGATCTCTAAATAGTCTTTGTGTACAAGATTCAATTTTATGAATGGAACATGTATTCGTGTCCAAATTGTTAAATTATACCAGCATCTCGGATTAAGCATTAATTCATTTATGATCATCTTTAATAAAAATCAGATGGTTGTGTCAATCATTTCCCTAATAGGTCCCTAAATCATAACAGGAATGTATTCTCAAAATTTCATGTTTCTAGAATCAGATTAGACGTTGATATATAAATCAGACAGAACACCTTTTATATATATATTTAGAAAATGATTAGGGTATAATTAAGAAATTGAGTTTATTGATATTGAGAGATATACGTAATTTTCATAAATAAAAACCAAGTCATGGAACTTTAAAGAAGAAAGAAGATTTTGTGGTAGATTTCATATGGACCTAGCTAATAATGAAGAACATACTGATTTTTAAAGTACACTTACTGCATACAAGGCATAATCTTATGAATGGAGCACATAATGGCATTTCATCTTATCTCGCAGTTGATGTTCGTTTTTTACTGGAGATAAAAGACTCTGTATCGTACTACCAGCTATTGTTTAAGTGCACGCGTACTCAACTGATTTTCAATTCAGCCTCTTATGCAAATTCATTATATTCCTTGCTCTTCATTTATTTATACTATCAATTTGACCACCCTGTATAATATCGGGAAGGACGTTAATCGTAAATTCGTAGAGTACAAAAAGTACTAAGTATGTATATTCCAAGAATCGAGTTATCGTTGTTCCAGTTTATTAGAGGGCAAGCCCGTTGGTGGTATCAAAAAACCAATTTATAGGCCGGCTTCCCCGAATCTCGATATCAACTAGAGCTCGAACTATTGATAAAAGGATTCAATTTATGAACTCGTTCGTTCATCTGAATTCAATATTGGAAACGATTACTATTAGAGACAAAGTTGGAAAATTGTATCGTACATTCTCTATCTAGATTATATGTGATATGTATATGTACTTTCAATTAGATCAGGGAACAAATATACATATTTAAGACCACCTTCGAACATTCCTTTACTGATTTATGTTCAAATTCTAGTTCCGTCCTATCTGCATGCTTAACATGCTTGGGAAGACCCGAGTCTGAGAATTTGGGTCAGGATTTTCGGCTATCGTTAATATTGAAAGTATTGCTGCACAAAACTAGGAAATATGCCAAGTATTGTTAGAAACAGAGATCACATAGTTATAACTCTTAAAAGACTTCGTCTATAAATTACATTTGTAATTAATATGGTGTCGTATCTTTTGAAGATGTACAGAAAAATAATATAAAACTGCGATTAAATGAATTAAAGATGAATTGACATAGACTTTATCTGTAATTTAGTACAATCGACTTTTACAAGGATTAGATTACGGAAGTTCGTTTTCAAAGTTACCAAGTGACTTTAACACAATCTCTCAAAGCGCGAATCAGATGGAACATTAACCCAAAACCACACCCCGTAAAAGACAAAGTCCCATCGTATCGAGCGCCGAACAATGAACCTCTTCTCCTCGACCGACATTCACTACCATGTTACCTCTTAAGCTCGTCAACCGAAACCTGGTCCCGTAAGTCATCTACCCTCAAGCTATAAGGAACAAGCGACGGCGAAGAAAAAAAAAGAGGAACAAGCAGCTGGTCGATGGAAAAGAGGGACACAAAGGCTGGAATGCGGTCTAACGAGGTGAACGCAAGAAAACTCTCGACGCAGCCGGGACGTCGAACATCGTCGAGAATTTTGGCGAGAGCTTACCTACCGGGTGTCCTTGACAAGCACGTATCCTTTGAAAAATCAACCAAAACACACGATGCAAGTCGACACAAAGAACAACGAAATCGCTAGAACCCGGAATTGCATTAATTATTTTTCGTTTATAGTACAATCAGCGAAAATGAGACTAAGTTTGTGACTATGCTACAAATTCACACGTATACACAGGATTCAATTTGTTAGTAAGATAATTTTTTTACAATATGCAAAATTAAAAAAGATAAAAGTTATGTCGATATTCAGCACGTCAAAACGAAAAAAATGCAAAAGTCAATTTTTATTTAATGTAATAGGAGTAACAATTTCTTTTTAACAAACCTAGTAACTATATTAATGCACCCAAGATAGTATTTATTTCTGTACTAGTTAAACGAGCGATTCATGATTCCCATTAGATGTATATTGTGGTACGAATGAAAGTATCAATTTTGAACTTTCCTACGCATAGGCGCGACAGTGACTGCCTTGGTAGTTCAGCGATCAAACACGTATCCACGCTTTCTTTTCAACCCGTTCATAACGAGAGAGGGAACTGCCACGCATTGGCGCCACTTGATTTATGGCCCCATAAATGGCACCGTAAGCGTATTAAATATTACGGTTTGTTCGACACCCCTTGATTATCCATTGCGATTAACCAAGGTTTTCATGTCGCGATTCAAACTGGTTGTATAATCCAGCCGATGTCGATGATCTCTCGGTACTTTCGTGATTGGCGATATCAAACCTTCTGGATCAACGAACTCTGGTTTAAGTAAGTCTTAAGACGGTGGAACAAAGAAAGTTAAATTAATTAATGAAATCAAATTAAAAATGAAACTGTACATTCTTTAATAATTCAGAGTTATAAAATTATTTCATGAGTAAACATATAAGTCCAACTAATAAATTACTGCATGATAAACATCTGTTATGTTTGAGGAAAACATTTCATATACACCACCCTAACATTTAAATTTCAATTTCCTAATTGCGTATATGCGAATGTAAGCGAAGTATGATCTATCGATTATATTCGTTCGTTCTCCACGAAGCCACGACAGTCTCCAGCTAAATACACATAGGACGAAGACAATTTCCAGCCGCTTCCGTGTGTCTTCGAACTGGTAAGAGGCTCTACATATAACCGAGAGCATTGGCAGACAACTATATGTATGTAGGCGTGTTGGCTCTTGCCAGACACAAAGAGTCGATTCGGAGACGTCTCGCCGTGACACTGTCGTGGTATCGGAACCCCACGTATACCAGTCAATACATAAAGCCTCGTGTTCATAATCCATGACGAAGACGCCGCCGCTGCCCGTTAAAGCCGGATTTCAAAGACGATTCGGTCTTATCTATTCCACGGTGAAATTAATAAGTACTATCGATTGTACAAAAAGCACTTTGCAATTTAATATGAAAAATATATGTAATACACAAAACTGTATATAATATTAACAGCAAATTGCATATGTTTAAACAATTAAAGCAAATTCCTCTTAGATTTCATTATTTAAATTGATATCTTATACTTCAAAAAGTCTACTTATAATTCAATGAAACACAGTTGATTAATTAGGCGAATGAAATTTGCGTCGGGAATCATAGGAAAGGAAGGTGTAAAATGGGCCGACGCGACACGCTCGCTGCTGCGACTCGCTTCAAACAAAGGAGTCCACTGTCAGCCCCGAACGAAACACGTTCCTCCGGTTCTACGCGCATAAAGGAGACCTAGCCAAGAGGAATTCCTTGACGGCTCGTCGTGGCATTGAGGCACGAGCAGATAAGAGTGGCAAGAATTTCGTGCAGCGAGAAACGCGAATTACCATTAACGATTCCCCTGTTTGTTAAACGGCGGAAGACCTGGTCATTCCGTACCGCCTTTAATCTCCTTTGATAACTGATAATAGATATCAGTGGTAGAAGGTCGCGAAGAAGTATCTATGTAGCTGTGATGTAATTAAAACAATCGATTAATGTTTATTAGTAAACACGGACAGTTTTTAACAAGTTAAATAAGAACTGTAGAGCAACAAATAAATTACTTAATCAAAATGATTCTCGACTGTTCCCTTGAACTTTATAATGTTGACAGACTTTGATACAAGGAGGAAATATTATGCACGAGGAGTATGCAGCATTTTAAAAAACGACGATTTCGATAAAGGAGAAGGATTCTCACTATGGAATCTTTACAGAGACCGGTTTAGGAAACCGTCTTTCTAAAAGTCAACTTCTAATTTATTGACAGAATACCAACAATCGTTTAAAGTTACGAATGAGATATATTGTACAAAAAGTTAGAAACGTGATATTTCCGAAATGGAAAAAGTCAATGTACTGTGAACTCTTAATTAATTGAGGAAGGAGCTGATCCACTAGAGTAGAGTGATTAAGAAGTTTGCGTCGCTTGTTGCGCAAAAAATCCGCGATTATCTGGCGGTGGTAGCCGATATTGAAGTTATGGCGTTCGGCCAGCATTCTGTTGCCTTATGTAACGTAATGTCGGTACAGGAACGCGATGATTAAATCTCATTAGACGAATCGATGTCGTTCGATTTGGCAATTGCACGATTCGAAGACTGCCCAAATTAATTAGTGGGGCCATTCAAGGTCGCAGAAGTGATTAACGACGACTTTTTATACAGTATCAAAATGTTATAAATAAACTGCAGACTTGATCAGATTAGAGTTCTCCTTAATGCCTGATCAATATACGCGTAATAAATAACAATCACATTGGAGTCGCTGAATACGGGAATTGAGATTCGTGACATTGATAAAGCAGATGGCTGTTTGATAAATATCGATTACAGCAAAGACGAGAGATGAATCACGATCGACGATTGTGTACTGGGCAATCAGCAGCTGTTGATTCAACAAATAATGATTGCGAGAATGTAACAGGCTCTGCATCAGTGTGTATCTCATGTATTATGATTATGCAAAATGAAACATCTGTTTCCGATGAATTTCTAGCATCATTTGACACCATGTTATTCATGTTGATACTTCATACATTTTTATACATTATATATTTTCTACAATTTGTTTACAAATGATAAATAACTTAGTAATCAATAGATGTATAATCCCGGAGATTGTTCTCTGAATATCAGTCATTTATACTTAGAACAATTATTTAATGAAATTCCGACGCGTCAAGTGATTTTAAAAAACAACCTCGTCAGTTTCGCCACGGTTCTCTCGACAACAGATCAATTTACCTTTGACCGTTCGCGCCAATTAACTCTCCCCTCGATCGTCGTTCAATCAAGATCGCTATGAGTTACGTAAGCGAGCCTCGTTTTATTCGGACAATTACGAATTCGTAGAGGAAAATACACGCGAGTAGCGATGAGAACGTTCCAAGAAACGGCGTAGACGGTAGCCAAGGAACCAACCCGGCACGAGGCAAACTGCTACCGAGAAGAAGCGGTCTGTTAACCCGTTCCGCGGCCGCTCCAAACACGATTCGCGTCACCGTGTGTCGGAATGCTCGAACGGCACTAAGGTGCTCAAGCAGGAAGTCTCCTTTCACGCATTTCTCAAGAGAAGAAAAAAATACTGAATAACACTTGAATTTCGAACCGGGCATAGCAAGTGAACGAGGAAACACGTATAACTGTTTACCTAGCGAATCGAAGTCATTCTACGTTATTATTACATGTTCTTCTACATTAGTATTTTAATAGTTTCACGACATACAGTTCGTTAATTTACATGTCATTAAATGTTCATTACGTCAATCATTATTATCTAATCAATTACAGGAAAATTGGAATGTGATAAAATGAACAGAACATTAAAAGTAATTTGAATAATAAAAAATATCTCAATTCTCAACATTCTATTTTTTAAATTGATCCCACGAATGTTTCATTTCACATTAAAATACCGCAGATTATTAATCATCTTCGTAGCTGATCGCAGCTATTACTGGACCGAGAAGAACGATAAGAAGTTGGACTTTAAAACCGTACGATCGGTGAGAACCTCTGAGGAGCAGTGAGATGCATGTGTGCACGGTCTAATCAAAACGTCACCGTGTTGCGTATGCGTCACCGTTTAGGTCACGAACGGGTGTAACATCTATCAGGCAATCAAAGCAAACCGCGTCACGATCCGTTACAACGGTGTGACATCATCTGTGCTAAAAGCACGCGCGATGTCACGGATACACGCGGCAGACAGGGGCACGTGCATATTCATTCAAGACGTATCAAGCTCGCTGCCCCTCCTCCCTGTCTAGGAATCAACGTTTACGTAGATGTGTGTGCATGGTTGTTCGGTTCCATGCGCGAGACGGGCGTAAGATAGCGCATTACAACCGGGAGGTCAGTTTTTCTAAGTTCGTCTGCTGACTAATCGGCTGTTTACTGTTGTGATGACTTCTGGTTCTCGCGAATGATTCCTGATCGGAGTGGCAAAACAGCGGTCGCGAGGACGCGAATCGCTGTCGCGATCTCTTAATCGAAGGTGGATGAATCACGATCGCAGAAATCGTGAGTTGGATCTAAATTGCATTGGGATTACGGTTATATTGCACGCTCCACTTAGTATATTAATATTAAGCTGACGTACATGAAAGGACGTTCTGTTTTGTAAATCTCCAATTTTCCATAAAAAATCATCTATCATATTTCTTCTCAGAAACTCAGAATCTGATAATTTGATTAGAAATGATTTATTATGATACGGATATTGAAATTTTATTAGAAGATATTGAAATATCAATAATAATATCGAGATGATTGATTGATTCGTTTTTTCCAGACGAAAAAAGAATTTCCATTAGAGGAATTTACGGAAGAACGTGCATGCGATGCATCATCCGACGAGGCAGTGAATGAACGACGTCAATTAAAGGAGAGCTTCCTTAAAAAAGGCAGGAGAGAGCAATAGGATCGCTCGAATGAGTCACGCTCGTCGCGCGAAGATTAATTTGTAAAATTTTGAATTCACTCGACACCTACTCAAATAGGGTATGATGTCACACGGCGCGTTAGCGGCGAACACTCATTGCGAAAATATGCGTAATTACGAGCGTACGTACGTATCACTTGCGATCTTGATAACGAGACAACGACGAACGACGTCCATTTAATTGTTCGCTCTCCGTCTGATTTTCCTCTTTAATTCACTTCGCGTGGAAGTGTTTTATGTTACAGTTCAAAGTGTTTTTCAGTTCTGTACATAATCTCACTGAATTTTCATAATGATTGAACACTCATATAAATCGATTTCTTTTTCTTTTTTTAAATAAAATCGTATCTACTTTCATACTTACGGATTTGAGAAAGGCATTCCTGTCCTCGTATCGGGGTTTCATCTGATGAAACCGAGACCTGCTGCTTTCATGCTTGTGCAGCATGTTTAAACCCCTGTCGACGCTCATTCATAAATCTATTTCGACCCACTGACACCGAAATAACACGGATCAACACGATAATTAATGGCTGCAGTATTAGAAGAATTCTTCACTTTCCAATCTGTTTATACTTTCTCACTTCAAAATGTCCAAGGACTATAAAAGAGGGTGATCTTTTTAGTCATTCCGGACCCTTACTTGTCTCGTAATTTTATTATTATATTCTATAAGAAAATATTAAAATTATTACTCTTGAAAAGACCGATACAATTCATTTTATATTGTAAACCTTCATTTGGTGTGAATCGATCTTTCGCTATATGTGAAGAAAATCTGTGAGAGATGCAAAAATCAGGTAACGATTTCGACAAGATCAATGCAAATTAATCGAACCATTTATTATCTACGATTTTTAATGACAAGAGTGAAGCAGCTGGTTAAATAGAATCTGTGGTTTTCTCTTAATTTAAAAATAAACAAGTGATAGTAAAGTAATCTTTAAGCGCATTTATTAGAACCTGACTCAATAAAATTCCCAAGGAAAGATACCAAATGACACATGCAAATCAGTTCAGGCTTGATTTTATAATTGAGTTTTCCAAAATAACAAGAGTTGTCATAATAAGCGATGCAAGAAGCGGACCAACATTAAAAACGGTTTTATCAGACACGCTTATCACCGCCGATAATATTCGTCGTATGAGACCCAGATAAGAAGCGAACGGATTATTTTCGATACCATCGACCAATTTCGGCGGTCGTGTCGCTAGTTCCTTGCAACGATCCGGAAATCGAAACAAGCTGCGTTTCCGGTACGGGAAGTCACGTACTTCTAGGCTGCGTGTCGTCGTCTCGCGATCGCGTATTTAGGAATGCACGTGGCTTTTAAGCCAAACCCGGCGCGCGCGTCGAGACGTTGCATTTCTATGCAACGCCGACCATGCGGAAGCGTGTGTTCATTACGCAACCACTGTCCACGTGCCTCGAGAGGTTTCGAAAAAACCCACAGACTCCATTTTGTTACTGAGAATAAAACTAACAAGTAATTGATCACTAGAATTCGTTTTCCGATTTTTAATTGTAATATGTTTTAAGATAACAATCACAATAATTGTGTTGGATTTTAATTATTGCAATTTCGTACTGAAATATTAAACTTAGCGAGGATATTCTTATAATAAATTACGAGCAGCATAATATTGGACAAATATATTTGAAAGAATAATAAATTTTATATTTCATCAATGATAGACATGATTAAACGAACAGTCCAGGTCAGAAACCGTTTTAGTTAATAGGTTAACGCGTAAGAGGTAAGTTACGCAAGTCGCCATTTCAGACGCGGCACCTCGGCAACAGCGAAAGACCGATCCCACCGAAGGGCACCGATTACGAAAGATAACGCTTTAAACCGTGTTCACCTTCCAAGAATCTTCGTAAAAATAATTCACAATTCACTTCGACATGAACGTGTAATCGAAAATATTTAAATAAACTGCGGCTCGTGTGTCACTGTCCGTTCACAGAGAATCACTGCCAGAACGGAATCGACACGCTTCGATCGTTCTCCGAATGCGAGAGGAGTGAACCGTACCCGTTCACCAGTCACCTACGATCACTGTGGTAGTTGACAGGTAGACGGTGTATAGTAATCTCAGTGAGGGAGCGGACAGACTGCGTTCGATCGATCGATCGAGGTGAGTCGCGACGCGAGACTGACGCAAGGTTCGAGCTCCGCAGCTACAAATACCCGTTATCAGAGGCGGCGCGCGTGTTATCAGCTCGGCACGAGAGCCGGCGAAGTTGGACGGGAATCAGCTGGTATTCAAGAACGAGCTGAACGTCCGTGGCGATAGGAGGATTCGACAGGTAGAGGGGAGCGTGTTAATCGAGGCTGGCTTTTACGAAGAATCGATGATTCATCCATATGAATGACGAGGAGAGAGACGGTACTATAGGAAGATAGTCAGAAAAGGAGGGCGATACTTCTTGGAATTTCCCTCGACGCCGTGCCTACCGCCGCGACCTGAATGGCTGATTCCGGATGAACGTAGAGATGGTCGTAAGAAATACAAGCTGGGAATTTTATGCATCCGGCTTTCAAATTGTGTGAATTAGTAATTAATATATTATTTCTTAATACATGGAAGATGGAAATCCGTAAGGATAACAAAAGAATTTAAAAAATTGTCTCATGAATATTTGGATCAAAAATATAATATCCTCTTATGATAATCTTCAGAGATGAAATTTAATTCCATCCAACACTATTTATGAATAATTAACTATTTTTGTCGAATCGCACACAACTGAATTAGTTCTTCCACGAAACCGTAACCTGTGCACCGATATGGTCGACGACGAATCCTCGAGGAACCATTGTGTTTTCAAGGTCGTATCACTGAAGTTCGCGAGCGTCGAAAATCGAACAAGACATGAATGGATATCGACTAAGGCTAATCGGTCCCCTTGAAACGACTCGGCCATTCAGTGAGCAAACTCAGCCGATTGGAAGGATCGCCGGTCCATTCATAGCCGCGGTGACGTAATCGTCGAGCGAGTATACATACGCTATCAGCGTGAATTGATGCACCAAGGGAAGATGCACCAGCGTCCCGGCGCGGAATCCAATTGACATCTTTACCGAGAAACGCACGGGGGTCAAACTTATTTATAAAGACACCGCACCATCTTTCATTCTCGTCTTATTTTCTCTTATCATTCGTTCCTCTTTGTAAGTTGCTTTCGCGAAATCGTTGTGTCATTCGAATATTCGATAGAAGATTGACAAGTTTTATTGATGCAGTTAATAGGAAGAGTGAGAGATGATTCTAATTGAAGAACATCGATAATGTAAAGATAATACATTCTAAGAATATTCGTTGTGAATACTTATAGATTAGATTTGTTTTTTATAGATTTATAAAACTTTCGTTGCATTTTATACTTAATGTGCAGATTTTATATATAGATTGATTTTTTAAACGTAGAGATAACTTCATTTGCTTCTGTCTGTACAGTCGTTATCCAGATTTGTTTGTTTTCATGAACGATGATTCATGTGAATTACATAAGAAGGCGGATCAACGACACCTGACATGACTCATGTTCAAATATAAACGCTAAAAAGCCGCAGTTCTTATAATCACGGATATCAACTTCTGGATATTATTTTTCCTCATAGAACTCTGCTCCCAGCAAACAAATCTGACGCGGTTACTTAATATGAACTTTTTCGAGGAAACCGCGAAAGAAGCCCTGAACTTGGACTCGGAGGAAGGACGATTAGGTGTCGCGGCGAGTGGCACAACTCGGCGCTAGCATGACTCACGGATCCGAGTTAAGGATGTCACGACACAATCAGCCACCGAGCTCTCTTCTATCCTGCTCTCGTTTAACTCGTTTTTGCATCTACTTAAACCGATTCGAAGTACTTCCAATCGTGGTTCTTCGAACTCATTTCAATTTTAATTCTAATCGATTTACCACGAATTTCATTTCGCGATACTTAATGAGCATTGTAAATGACAGAGATCATTTTTATCCATTTTTTACAACAAATTACTATGAAGTTCTACGCCATATAAACCAATCATAAATTCCAAATTAAAAATTTTATGATTGACATAAGTTGTATATAACAATTTTCATTACGCACATCACAAAGCTACAGTACTTGTACGAAATTAATACAAGAGAACTGAGGTTGCAACTAAGTAAAAGCAATCGTAACAGATCCAACAAATTTACCTTTCGCCCAAACTGTGCTGCCATTTGTCAGGGAAATTATCCCGGGACACTTGCACCAACGAAAGCGTGAAACATCTCGATTGAGCGTAGTTAAGGCGTAATGGGGTCGTAAATAACGCAACGTAGCCGAGTTAAGATTAAAAGGCTCGAGATTAGAATATGCTCGGGTTCGATTTGGTCGAATGTTTCGCATAGCGAACGGTGCGTCGAACCAGCCTTCCCCTATTAGGATGCCTTTGGCATACCTCCGAACGCTCTAGAAGAGGATACGCTCCGTTTTCATCGCGTATTTTTGTATGAACCACATTACCTCTTCGTAGTAGAATATATTATAANGATAACTATATCTTAGTGAATGAAGTAAATTTCGAAAGATATACTACTTCCGGTAGTTCCGGAAGATTAGCTTGACACGAATCTCGTTATCGTTATTTCAATTACGTGAAACCGCGATGCGTCATGAGTTTCTAATCCTCGCGACACGCGCCCCGGCGTGCTTCATTCAAATGTCGCTTTCTAAAGTTGCTCGAGACAGGAGAAACGTAGGTACATTTTTGTTCGATCATCACGAAGGCATTTTAGACGCTACAGTCAGTATTATTAGACCATCGTTAAACGGTATTGTTACAGGAATATTTCATAACTAGCCTACGGATTTCTACACGAAACATTTATCATTTTAAAAAATGTGATTTCAATAGAATCATTTATGCATTGTGATATACATTCAGCTTTTGATATTCTGTATTTTACAATTTTCTGCATATACAATCTTTTTATCACTTTATAAGGCTTTGAATTTCAAAGGCGATATTTTATAATTAGTTAGAAGTCATTGATCCATGAAAATTATTTCCGTAATCAAGTGGCGTGCGATTAGTCTGGTCGCTAAGTTCAAATTGTACGTGCTTTCCAATTGAAGTACGTCTCAATTTAGACGCGGCGAAGGCAACGTGCACGATTACGCGTGTGCTGTTTAATTTGACCGTTTAAGTGGTTCTCGATGATCCCTAACTGCGAATCCACTACGTCTCATACATACTTTATACATAATAATCAATTATTCAATTTTTCAATCAATTTTGTATTTATTTAGAGATATTTCAAAGTATTATTCAACACGCTCATTATCATATTCTCTAGTCAAGTAGTCAGTATGAGTATTGAAATGCAAATGATCTCATGTCAAATCATAAATCTTTACATAATTAAGTATTCAAATAATTTTCCATAAAATTTGCTACCCTTTTTAAAGAGATAGAAACTACTGAAGACAGTCATGATTCTCTATCACACTGCATAAGAATAAAAATCCAAATGGTCTTCGTCACATTCTGCAGTGATAAGACAGTTCGATTTCCGATTGTAATCGTCAAATTCTTTCTCACGCTACACAATGAGGGAGCACCGAGAGTATGTATGATTCACAGCTTTTATCAAGGCACTTAAGACGTGCTCGAGGTTCTTCTGTAGACCACGATGATAACAATACGCGAAAACATGTACGGAAACGACCTAGCGCGCGTTTTTATCATCATTCACTCTTTATATATTTCGCGGAAATGCGTTAGTCTCTTTACAATCAACTTCCGTGACGTGTAGTTGTCTAACATCAATCAGTGACGTAACACCGCAGGAATACTCGGTTACGTTCGTCGCCTCGAACTTCCGAGAATTCTGCAACAATTCATGCATAGAATCAACGTCGTTTCGTAGAAAATTAGAGTAAATGAAACGATCTATGAAGTGTTCTAATATAAGACATGAAGACATTTGATTAATTCTGTAACAATACTCGACAGTAGTACACGTGAGTTTAATAATAAAATTGAAAGATATCAATCAAATATCGCCTGCAGTTATTTTTTATTTGAATTCCGCAACGTTTCAACAAGGTCGGCGATTCTAAAGGAATTTTACCTGGTCCCACTCCCATAATCTCCTAAATACCTTTGAGTCCGTGCGCACATAATTTGATCCCGACAAACAAAAGGTGACTCTCACGTGGAGAATCAAGGAGTGCAGGTGATCGTGGCATGATCCGGATCGATGAGTCACAAAGGAACGCGCGCGAGATTCACTCGCCCGCTCCCAAGGGAAGGAGGAGTCGCCAAGCTTCGTGTAAAACGAATGATTCATCAACAACAAGCTTATCGGGCACCTCGAAAAATTCATTACACGGTTGTAAATCGGTAATCGCACAGCTTCCGATTGCGTCGCAAAACTAACTGGAGGGTAAAAGAATTCAATCGAGGATTTACTATCTAATGAAATAGAATCGTTATTAGTCAGGTAAGCGATAATAGTCACATTCTTAAAATCTTATCAGTAATCTTGTACAATTTTTTTCAAGTCGCGTGGGAAAGATGAATAAAGGTGATAAGAAGCAATTTTTAAAAGCAATCCAATGTTACTTATATTTCTACAAAAAATTTTGATATAGGATAAATTAGATGGTTTACATGGAGTTTGGGATTATAACTAACAATTTTGTATAGCGACATGAAATAAAAAGTGAAGCGATCGTTGCACTGCCGTTTTTCAGAATATTTCATTGATCATTGAATTGGACTTGGAAAGGATCATCGGCTGCAGCTGATAATTAGATAATCCAACTTCAGACTCTACTTGTTTGGCTGTTTTTCCGCGTAAGCGCGGTCACGAGCAGGCGGTTAAGAGCATGAACGAACCAAGCCGGATGAATGAACGAGTAGTGAATCATTGCTGTGAGTGCGGAGGGAAGTTCAAGGTCGTACGTTACGATACGATGCCACGTGCTTCTGCATCGCATTGTGTGCGTTATCACGAACGCATAATCCGCATTTTCCCCTCGTTAGCAACGTTTCGATTTTTTGAAAAGGGTCGACGATGACGATCTATTATCGTTTGACGTTGGATCTTGGGAAAAGTTCTAAACAAACCTGAGGTTCGATAATTCTATTTTTATTGATATTTCGTGTCTATCAATATTTTCAGTGACATTGTCGAGAATAATTGAATTTTTGATGACTGCATGCTGCGTGAATATGAATTAATCAACTGAAGATGTGTTATTTGAAATATCTACAATATATGAATTCTTCGGAAAGCATCTCCCCTCGTCCAACATTCCAACTCGACTAACCCCTAATTACACGCATCAAGAGGGTAATTCCTGAGGATCAGGCATCTCGGGCAAAGTGATTCATACGTTCCACCGGGTCGATCTGAAAATCGAGGATGAGACACGAAGGGGAGGAGAGTAAAAAGAAATTCGGTTGAGTCACTGCCCCGGTGGATGGGTTCGTGCATGGAAATGCGAAGAGCACACGAGCCCGGGGACGAGTTCCCATACCGGGCTTCTTGGCGAACGCCTATGAGTCACCAGAGGAATTCCAGACGTGCACGCAACGTGCGTCCCCCTTTCCATTCCTTTTTCTCACCTATGGGTCAATAGAAATTACACACTAACTACTTCTTACTCCGAATCGGCAGATTTCGCGATTACTCATTGAGAAAATCTTAATAAGAGAGACGAACAAAATGTTTGAACCAAACAAGAATAGGCAATAATTATTGCCTAGTAAAGTTATTTATCATTCGACTATTAAACAATTTTTTATTAATGCTCCAGCAATTCCTTGACACAGCTGAATGTATTCGATATTTAAAATACTTGTTACAACCTACCAGGTGAACTTCGTAAAAGGACCGTGTCTACCTGCCTGTTTCCCTCAGTAACGACGATTTAAATGATAATATATCTGTCCTGAATGAAGAGAACCGACAGACAAAGACGTAAGTTGCACTCACCTGAAACAGACAAAAGAAACGTTTAAGTATGATTTAAGGAGCGAAGCGGAATTAGAATATGAAAAGGGGTCGCCGGGTCTTAATTGCTAGCCGGTGGTCCTTACGCCTACGATTTTCTGGGTTTTGCGAAGGCGCGTCACGCGACGCTTAGAAAACGACGAAACTAGATTAAATCGGCGACGGAAAGTCTCAGCATTTCTTTTTCCGCGCGTTGATTTACCGCCACTCGATCCGTAGAACCGGAATTCGAGCTTATTTACGAGCAACTGGAACTCCGTCGTCGATTCTCTTTTGTTTTACTCCGAACGGAATAGGTGTTCGATAAGGCTTGAGACACTTCGAGCGTTCTTTGTCGAGTGCAAAGTGGAGCAGTGAAGGTACTTCGATTAAAAAGTGAATGATATATTGGTTAATAAATAATTTATCTATGATTCAATTACTTATTCGTTTTACTGACACTGTCTGAATTCTTGATTCATAACATTTTACCAAATGTATTTGATATGGTTTATGACAAGCAGACCACGGATTTTTATACAAACATTTGTGGTATCATGTTTTTAGATAAACGTTTATTTTATCACTTAAATATTTAAAGATGTACTCAGCGTTTGATATTTTGTACGACTTGTTATTGAAAATGTGATAATAAAATGAATATAAACTATTAAAAATCAAAGTATCTGCATTTCTTGTTTGTACGGCAAGTGAGATTTTAAGAACAGAGGATTGCGTGCTTTCTCACATGCTTCTTAACCGCGAAAGAAATAAACTACCTAAACGAAATACGCGAAAATCCTAAATTACGCATCGGTTCCAGAGAAACCTTGAAGCAGCGTGGAAACTTCAAGGAGTACGCTTTTCTTCACTTGTACTTACTCCGATCTTCGGCATTCGAAAAATCCGCGAAACTTCGCAGTAGACTCAAAACTGGCTGAACGAAAACAAACTCGTTCTCGAACGCTGCGGAAACAATTTTAACACCGTAATGTTTACGGGAACTCGAAATCAAACGTCGAATGAAGTAAAGGGGGAAAAGAGAGCGTGAAGAAAGGGTCGCGTAGGCGTTGTTAATCAAGAACGGCGCCACTCAAGTGAACCAACGTTATATGAACACTCATTGAACATTCTATTATACGAACACCTGTTATCTGAATGTTTTATTATCTATACAGTAAATTTTATGTAATTGTACAATATTTGCATTGTATGCAAATATACTAAGTGCTTACATATATTTCCTTTTGTAGGATAAAATCTACTTAATGATTCAATATAAAGTATGCATAATACATATTTGTATTTTATATAAGGAATTATCTACATATAAATAACATACATTTTATTTAATTTCAGTTTAAATGTACGTACAATTCGAATAATAGTCTTATTAGTTGAATATATGAAAATTCTTTTGTATGGACACATTTGTCCCGCAATTAATTGATATAATGTAGGTTCTACTACTGTAACTACTTGCGAGAAGTCTCGTGGTTGGAACAAAAATCGAAGAGTGAGGCCGAGATGAAACGATATCTGCAGAATGCGATGCAAATGACCGCCGGTCACGCTTGGTTACATTACGTGAATCGGTGAATGCACTTTTACTCACGGAAGGAACTACGTTTAGTAACACGACACCATTTGAAAAATTCAGCAGTTTTGGTTCGACAATTTGTTGAACCGTGAACATTGCACGCATTGCAACATAAGCGAATTCTCCTTTTGTCAAAGATAAACGTATGGATGATAATTAGGAGACTGTGGATTTTCAACGAAGTAAAATTCTTGCGATGCCCATTTAAAAAATGTGATATAAATTATGATTTTTTTATCCTTAACAAATAATTATAAGTATACTTGTAATACATATTCTTGTACATATTACGTGCATCCTTTATATGTATTAATCTCAGGTTTTTGTAATGCATAAAATTTGCAGTCTAAAATATCCATTTACAGGACTTTTCACTTGCAACATGTTTTCATATTTCGTTATAAATTCGTTAAAGCATTCGCAATTAAGGACTTCATTTTAGATACCGAATTTTGTCTCTTTGTAAACGCCGCTTCGGTCGTCGGCACCTTTCAAGAGGATCCCTCATCCCCATGATATCAAGCGAGGGAATAAAATTAACAGAGGAAATCTCTAATTGAAAAGCTCATAAACTGTTACGAAACGCAACGCGTTCCCTCGTACAGTAATTGTCCCACCTCGTAAAAATGTTTGAGCATCAAATGTGTTATTTGAAAGCCGTTTGCAACTATTCCTGCAGCTGTTCCTCATTAAATTTTCTGGGAACGTACGAATATTTATGCTGCACGAAGCAAATGTAAATGTTTCATATAATTTTTAATAAATTCTCTGAATAAGGAGTTTCTATACGAAATTTCATAAGAAATTGAATGAAGAAAATGAAGTAACGAAATCGTTGATCTCGTACCAAAGTATTCATTACTATTCCATTTTAGTTTCTCTGATAGAGTTATATCTAGCAATAAGCTCAGCAGTTATACGAGTTGTGTTTTAAACGCGTTAGGGAGCCAAGGAATTTTAATAACGTTAAGACGCTCTTAATTACCTCCGAGTGGCCTCGGAAACGTGCGCTACAAATCATAAATTTCCATTACGCTCGGGACTACTTGAAAGGAAAACGTAAAGAAGCCGCAGATATCTAACTCTAAAATACCAATGCACGTATTCGAAAATTCCAAAGGAACAAATGTTATAAACATAGCGTAAATGAAATGGGAAACAATCCAAGTACGTTGGACAGAATTTAGGTGCAAAACATCGACAATTTCCGTTGTAAATTACCACAAAAAAATAAGAGATTGATGAGAAGAAGCATGAGAAAGAAACTGTCCTAGAAAGATAGACAAAGATGTTAAAGGTCGGGGTTGAAGGATGCATAACGATGTCGACACGTGGAAAAACGGACAATTAGGCGGATGAGTTCAATATGATGCTAATTAACCGATTAACGAGCGGATGCGAAGACACTTGGACTAAGGCGAGATATAAGCACCCTGATAATAATAAACGGTTTCTCTGTTTGTAAGGACGCCGCCGTCTTCAATTTCCTTTCTGAATTAATTATAACTAACTACAAGAATTTCCTTTGAAACATCGGTATATCATTTGTCGATCGGTTATTAACCCATTTGCAACGTTTATACATTTTAATCAATGTAATTAAATATATATTTATTGATTTTATTATGGAGCTTTAGAAAATGAATTTTGATTTGATAAAATACAGAGATATATGCGTTCAATGAGGACTATCGTATGAAATATTCAATCAATCATTATATGAAACACTACAGCAATTTTGTATGAAACGTTTATTGGTATAAGAAGCTTGACTGCGATACAAGGAATTCCAATACGTTTAGAAAAACGTAAGATGTAAGAATTTAAGAGGGCACATTTTGAAGAAGCAGTAAAAGGACTGATCTAACGAACGTGACACAAATTCTTTGACCACGGAGGCATCGACCGACGCACGTGCACCCTCCGATAACCACAATCTCTGGCGCGTGTTTCGCTATTGTTCGACTCGGTAATCTTGAAGCTAGCCGATGTGTCAATGCTGTGACATTTTCGTTCTTCTGCTTACACGACCAGAAGCACGATCGTGCCGCAGTGTGCGTGACATTTCTGCGACAACGGAAATACGATTCTTCCACCGGCGCGACGTTACGGAACAGGGATAGAATGCGAAACTCGATCCTGAAGAAGAGACCGGTCGCGCGAACTCCGTTATCGCTTCTACTTACATAGATCTCGGTTTAGAGGGTTGTAGACATCGAAGAACTGGAGGACATTGCTCTGTATCTATTAGGCTCACACGAAATGATGTACACTTTTATAAATGATTTTCTTGACTATTGCAATTATGTTTTTTAATTATTGCATTCTTTAATTAAATAATAATTTCGACATGCGACGTTGCACTGTTATGCTTTGGAAGTTGACGAGACGTCTATGATTATGAAAGAAAAGAAGGTGCACGTGTTTTACTACGGGAGTTTAGAAACCGGAGAAAGTTTGATGTTTTGAGTTGTAAGGTAATAAGTGAAACGTGTGACTTAGAAATATGGGAGCACGTAATGATACAATGATGCAACGTAATTTAAAAATACTTCTTCATTACCTTTAATCAATCATGAGGGAACATAAAGAACATTCAGTCAATATTAACTGATAAATTCCATATTCTTTGTACAGCTATTTCTCTATTGAAAATCTGTTAATCGTTGTAATCTAATCGATGAATTATATATGAATGAATCATATATTTTTTATTAATACGATGGTAAAAATGTAATAAGAATTAATTAGAAGGAAGTCCAATTCATGTATTTCATTCTGGAAGAAGTGTGGATTCAATATTAGACCAACTACTGGGAAGCAATCCAATAATATAATCAATTAGAATAGATGCTTTGGAGCGTGCGTTCTTCGCCGTCTTCAATGGGATCCCCAGCCGCGTAAATAATCTTTTAATTCTCGCTTTATTCCATCTTCTTCTTTCCTTCGCCTAATTACTATTACGCCGCTTCTCTTCCGACGAGTGGCTTCTCTCGCTAGTCAGATTAAACGCATCCGGTTCATCGTTTTACGCGGCCGCTTAGTTTTTGTGAAAGTGTTAACACTCGCATCTATCCACAAAGCTTGGAGCTTCGCTCATGTATTTGTAATAGAATATAATCAGTAGACTGCAAGTTACATGCAGATAGATAAATTGCAGAAAATATGAAGAATGCAAGATTATGCAAAATATTCAAAGTATTATTTTTAATAAAAGGAATCTGAATTTAGATTTCCTTTCTGAAATTGACGTAAATACTTGATTTTTTATCAAACGGAGAGTCATATACTTCATATGATAAAAGATCTTTAAACAATTTATTATTTCAATTATGCCTTAATTTGTAAAAGGACTTTTTCCCAAATATGAATACAAAGAAGTGCAGTTAGTTTCCCGGGCGTTGAACGCCGACCGGAAGTAGCGGCGCGGCGCCTGACGCTTTAGTTCCTACGGAACGTTGTGTGGGTTCAGCGCGGAAAAGGGAAGTGAATGCGGCAGTTGCTGTGTTGGTATTGGATCGCGGTTGGTGTAGCGTTTCTTTTGTGTATTGTTTCATTCAGAGTTTCATTCATGTCTTTCGAATGTAGATGAACCACTGTACTAACGTGGAACTAAAAGATGCCATATAGCAGAAACTTCCTTGACATCGAGAATGTATAAGTTAACAAAGAATTGAAAAAGGTAATCCAAGAACATCTAACATCTTACAGTTAATCTACATTATAAAAAATAGGAAACATATGTAATAAATATAAGTGGATAAACCATCAACAGCAAAACGTATGTATGTATAGGGTTTAAAGAATTGAAGGATATTCATACTAAATTTTATTTTTTAAATTGATGGTTTACGAATTTTATTTTGCACCCGTAGGGTATTTGTAATAATACTTCGTGGAAGGTTTGATGCCGAGAGACCGAAGAATCTAAGAACACCCCCGATAT